CGTCAAATTCATATTCAAATGTTCTTCCAAAGTCTTGAGATAATCAGTAGTATATGCACTGAGAGATAAGTAAGGTCAGAAAATGTTAGTCTCCAATTCCAGGCTATTTTTTTTTTTTTATGTTTTATCATTAAGTAAGGGGAAATAATTGTAGGTTGTAGTAAAGAAATACAGAATGAAATTAGTATTTTAGGAAACAAGGTTGCTCACAATGTGTAGACATTTTATAGTGTGCATGATAATTGGCTTTACAATGGTGGTAATGTGAATAAAAAGAAAGACAGTTAGTAGTTAGATATTATAATAGAAAATGAAGGACTTTCTGAATGACTACATTTCTGGAGTAAATATTTAGAGGAAAAGAAGATTGATAGGGGAAGGGAAAGACTTCCAGAATGGTTGGAAAAACATCTGAAAACCCACATCTCTATAAAAGCAACAACACTTACAAAATTTATCAAAATCAAAAATTTCAGAATTCTTGAAATTAAAGGATCCCCAAAGTTTTGAGAATATTTATTCAAGAAAAATCGCTGTCTGGGTAACAGCTTCATAGCATTTAATTTTACTCAATTTCATCCCCTCTGTCCAGCTCCACTGTAGACTTTAATACCTATAGCCCAGTAACTGCAGTAGCTGTGAAAATATGTAGCCAGGAAGCCACTGAAAGAGGCAAAATGATCTAGAGTTCTCACAAAATCTAGGTTCCCAGAGAATTATCACTATTTAAGTTCCCTGGTTGCCTGCTGTAAAGCTTCTTTCTCAGGGCTTGTTTACCTGACTCAGAGCTTGCCTCTATTTGAGCATCCCTGCCACCAGAGTGAGTGATGAATACAGTCAGGAGAAATGGTTTAATACTGCATTACCAGTTGCCCAATAACCAAAAACTGAAAAGAAAAGTTGGAAATGAGATATCCATGCAGAGCTTTATAAAGTTCCAACATGTTCCTAGGAATCAATAGTTCTAAAAGCATGTCTAGAACCATGTGTATACTCAGGAATAAACCGAGAAAATCTTAATTTCTCATTGTGACATTGAGGCTCTGTGCAAGAAACAAATGAAAGCTGAGATGAAGCTGTAAACTGCTGGAACGAGGAAAGTATGTGCCCAAACATGCAGAGCCTCTCTGCAAAGACCAGGAGACATAAAGGATCAAGGTATTTTTTAAAAATCTAATTTTTAGCCAACAACTAAGCTAATTAAACATACACTTCAGTGGCTGCATACAATAAAAAACATACACTTTGCAAAATTAGATCAAGAAGGTCACTAGAAAATAAAACAAAATAAAACAAACCAAAAAACACTAACAACAACAGACCTTAAGGAGGCTGGCAGGGGACTCTGTTTTCCAGAGCCGTCACATTATATTATTTTTAAATGTTGATTTTTCAACAAAAATTATTAGACATGCAGAGAAACAGAAAATTATGGTCCATAATGACAGCATGAAAAGCTATCATTAAAAACTGTCCCTGAGGGCACCTTAATTTTTGTGGGAGAGACACCTTTCCGTGGCCACAATTCTGAGTTCATGTAATTCTCGTGGGCTTGATCCCTTCTGCTCCAGGGGGAGGATCATGACCCAGGCCTGTCAATCAGAGTGATCCATTCCTTGGCTTCAGTGATTGCTTCAGGGATAGGCACAGAAGCCAAATCAAGCCAATTAAGAAGCTTATTTTCTGGCCCACCCTATAAAAACTTAGACGGAGAAGGTCACAGACATGGCGGCTGTTAGGATGGGAAAGCTGACAACCATACCTGCAGGTCTGATATGTGCATCTATAAGTGTGCATGCGGCCAAAGAAGAAGAATTGAAAAAGCATCTAGTAAAACCAGAGCAGCTCCCCATATATACCACACCACCTCTGCAGTCTAAATATGTTGAAGATCAGCCTGGTCATTTACAAATGGGCTTTGCATACATCTGCACAACAACTGGTCATTATATTGACTGGTGCAAGGGTGTTTATGTTTTTGTGAAAAATGGGATAATGGATACAGTACATTATGGAAAAGATGCTTATATCTATCTGAAGAACCCACCTCGAGATTTTCTTCCAAAAATTGGAGTGATTACAGTTTCGGGATTAGCAGGCTTGTTTTCAGCAAGAAAAGGTTCTAGGTTTAAGAAAATTGCTTATCCACTGGGACTGGCCACTTTAGGAGCAACTGTTTGCTATCCAGTTCAGTCAGTAATAATCGCAAAGGTAACTGGGAAAAAGACATATACTACAAGCCAGCAAATTTACGAAGCAGTTAAATCATTGTGGACAAAAAACAACAAAAAAGAGTCACTTTCTAAACTGAAAGAAAAAACTAAGATAGAAGAAATCTCTGCTGAAATAGAAATATCTGCAAAAACATCTTAGAACCTGAAACACTCAGTGCCTTTGCCAACTGAACTCATCTTTGAAACAAAGACAGAATCAGAGTCTACCTCAGGTGCTGCACAGTTTATGCCTGACCCCAAGTTCATGGATCATGGGCAGTCCCATCCAGAGGATGTAGATATTTACAGCACTAGAAGCTGAAATAGTCTGGATAAAGAACTACTAGATGTGTGAAGTTGAAAATAATGATGAAAAAATCATGTGAAGGGTAACTGTGAGACATAGAATATAACCTAAACCAAGTTTTCCCCTTACATCTTCTAATGTAATGTACAATTTGACTAATCACATAAGTAATTAAAGCACAAACTGTGACTTTAATTCAAACAATATTAAATGATTGACAAAGAGGCAGAAGTAGAAATATTGGGATGTATTTAATGATATTTAGTGGTGTTTATAAAAAATACCCAAAACTAGAGTAAATATATAAACACTGATGAGATTAAGATCTGAGCAAATATGTATGTGGGCATAAAAATATTTATACAGATACACATATACACATTGCTTTACCTTTTTTAAATTAATGTCAGCTATATTAGAATGTTGTGTGGAAGGATGTGTTCCCCACTTTTTCATTTCCCAGAGCTGGAATAAAATATCCATATTTTATGACCAAAAAAAAAAAAAAGAAGCTTATTTTCTTTAAAAAAAATTTTTTTAGTGATTTATTTATTTATTTATTTATTTATTTGAGAGAGACAGACAGCATGAGCAGGGGAATGTCAAAGAGGGAGGGAGATACAGAATCAGAAGCAGGCTCCAGGCTCTGAGCTGGCTGTCAGCACAGAGCCCCATGCGGGGCTTGAACCCACGACCCATGAGATCATGACCTGAGCTGAAGTCGGACACTTAACCGACTGAGCCACCCAGGCGCCCCAAGAAGCTTATTTTCTTGAAGCAGCTACATTCAGAGGATTCTGGGGTTACTAAAGGTGAGGCAAGGGATTGTCTGAGATTATGAAGTTAACAGAGATGAAATAAAACAGATCCCTGTCTATTATTTGGCACCTGGATCCAGCTGGGCCTGAAGTTGATGCTTCTGTCCTTTTCAGTTACATGAGCTTTTTTCCTCCTCTTAGGCTAGTTTGAACTGAGGTTCTGACACTCGCAAACAATAAAATCTCCTGGAAAATATGCTTACTGAGACTTCAGCACAAGCATCAGTACGTAGTCAAAATGAAAGATGTTATTCAGGTTATGATACACTCAAAAATCCATGAGATTTTAAAAATACACCAAATTGATCTCTAAACTTGTAAAAGTAAAGCAGTGGCCCAGAAAAGAAGTGATTTAAGTCCAAGGAACCAACCAAATGACAAATAGTGGAATGTTACCTATGGAACTTTGAACAAATAAATGGTTCTCTAGCTACAGCAGACTTCAGACTACAAATCCCAAATATCTGTTTCAAAAGTTATACCAGGAAGAATATTCCAAAGTTTTAAAAGGAAACTTTCCAATCAAAGAAAGTAAATTTTATGTGTATCTGTTGTGTATATTATATATTAATGCCTAATATATTTACTAGATATATCTCAATGTAATTGATACCACATATGCAAATGTATATAAATATACATACATATTTCCAGCCTTTTCAAACAGATTTAATGAAAAGACTGTTCAAAAGAGCAGATATTAGACTTAATAGGTAGCTTAAATCAACTCTTATAAATACATTAAAAAATTTAAACCATGTCTGAAAAATTAAAGGAACATATGAGAATGATGTTTCATTAAATTAGAGAATATCAATAAAAAGACAGAAATCATAAATATAATTAAACAGACATTGTGGAGGTAAAAAGCATAAAAAATGAAACGAAGTAATTCACCACAGTAGCACAGCGACAGATTTGAACAGATAGAAGAAAGAATCAGTGAAAGTGAAGACAAGCCAGTCGAGATGATCTCGTTCCAGAAACAGAAAGAGACACAATGAAAAAAAAAGAACAAAGCCTCATGGATCTTTGAGACATCATTAAGCATACAAACATAAGCATTTTACAAGGCTCATCCTGAGAGAAAAGAAAGTCTCAGAAAGATTATTTGAAGATAAAATGGTCAAACACTTCCTAAATTAATTAGAAAATAATCTAAACATCCAAAAAGTAGGATAATCTTGGGGCGCCTGGGTGGCTTAGTCGGTTAAGCGTCCGACTTTCGCTTAGGTCATGATCTCGCGGTTCGTGGGTTCGAGCCCCGCGTCGGGCTCTGTGCTGACTGCCAGCCCAGAGCCTGGAGCCTGTTTCAGTCTGTGACTCCCTCTCTCTCTGACCCTCCCCTGCTCACGCTGTCTCTCTCTCTCTCTCCTAGAAATACATAAAACATTTAAAAAAAAAAAAAAAGTAGGATAATCTCAAAGAGATCCAAAAACAAACACATAGTAAAAACATTAGGAAAAAAAATCAAAGAGAATCTTGAAAGCAGCAAAAGAAAAATATCTTATCACATACAAGTGAACCCCATAAGATTTACAGCTAACACCTCATCAGAAACAATAAAGGAAATGATTTGGTGCATTAGTCAGGGTTCACCAGAGAGATAGAATCAACAAGGATATATGTATTTACTTATTATAAGGAATTAACTCACATGACTATGGATTCTGAGGAGTTTAAAATCTGCAGTGTGGGCCAGCCAACTTGAGACCAGGAGAGCAGTGCCAGACTAAATGCTGACAGGCAGAGACCTAGGAAAGGGATGGTATTGTGAACTAAGTCTGAAGGCAGTCTGTTGGAGAATTTTCTCTTGATGCAGGAGGCCAGCCCTTTGGTTCTATTAAGAACTTCAGCAGATTTGAAGAGACTTACCTACATCATGGAGGGCAATCTTCTTTACCAACATTCACTGACATAAATGTTGACCTTCTACAAAAACACCCTCCAAATCTATACATAAAATTAACCATTGCAAGTCCACCCCTTGTCAATTTGGCTTATCTTTAAGCCATACTTCCAAATAAAGAAAATAACAAGGTTATACTTCCATTTTGTATGGTACAACTATCCTGCATATGACAAAAAACGCACCATTCCTCTTCCCGGGAAAATGCAAAATACCTGAATCATGTTCACCCTTATCCTTGATATCCCCTAACTAAAATACTATGATATAAAATCAATAGTACTTAAGTACTATGATATAAAGTCCATACATCTTTGTTATACAGTAAGGGGATAAGCGAGGGAAGAAAACAAAGATATATGCTTTAAAATATTCATAATAAAATGAAGAGTAAATATTTATGACAATTATAGAACTTGATTCTGTCATTGGTCACATATTCACAGCTGGTATTCATAACTACCAATTCCAACTAACCATTCTGTATTCTCCTTGACTTCATCAAGCAACTTTGCTGGTCATGGTTCTTTACCTGGTAGTGTGACCCAAATATTCAATCCTGAAGGATCTGGGCCACTAACGGTCCTACCTAATTGACCTTAATCACAAAGCATGGTAATACTAAGAAACCCTAATATGTCTGTGTTCCACATATACTTTTCTTTTTCTCCATTGTGGAAAAACAGTCCAATATCCCCATTGCAATCAGGATAAATTACCCTAGCCAACACAGTACCTCCTTTCTTTGCCTCTTAATCCAAAGACATGAGAAATCCAAAATGGCTGAATGGCCATTTAATCCTCCAGTTAAATTCCTCCCTTTGGATCTAAGACCCCCTAAGCCCATAGAGCATAGAATTCAGGGAATAGGAAGCAAAAATTTCACTAGTTAAATAGTAGGGATAATAGTGAGTGATACTGCTACTATTTCTACCTCTTGATTCCTAGACCCATGCAGCCTGGTTACTGGATAAACAGCATTATATATTAAAAACTAATTCAGACCTTCCTAGAACCTTGACTCAATCTACAAAGTATGCCACCTATCTAATGCTATAGTCTTCAAATGGCAGTTCCACAATTCTATTTTTTTATGTTTATTTCCTTCTTTTGAGAGGGGCTGGGGCAGAGATAGAGGGAGAGAGAATCCCAAGCAGGTTCCCTGCTGTCAGTGAGGCTAACATGGGACTTAATACTATGAATAGTGAGATCATGACCTGAGTCAAAGCCAAGAGTTTGATGCTTAACCAACAGAATCACCTCAGTGTCCTAGGCAATTCCACTACTCTAACATGCTAGCTGCTTTAGAATGGTGGGGAACATGGTAAGACCAGTGAATGTTATGAGCATGAGCCCATTTCTACACTTCATTTTCTGGGAAGTTAGTTGTTTGATCAGAGACAATGGTGTAAAATACCATGACAGTGCATAAGATTATTCTACTAGTCCATGAATGGCAGTTTGGGAAGAAATACTGCATGCAGAAAAGGCAACTCTGCACCTAGAGTAAGTGTTTATTCCAGTAAGAGTAAAACACTACCACTTCACTGATAGAAGTGGTTCAGTGTAACTATCCTGCTACCAGATAGCTGGCTGACTACCCTAGGTAACAGTAACATACTGGGAACTCAGTGTTGGTCTTTACCTCTAGCAGATTGATCACTCAGCACTGGCCACAGGTAGGTCAACCTTGGTGAGTGTAAACCTATATATAACTTATATCCCTGTCACCATAGCCATTTTGTTCATGAGCCCACTGAGTAATGACAGGAGTGCCTATAGAAAGAAGCTGACCAGTCTTCATACAAGTCAACCTATGCACCTGATTATTACAACCTTCCTCTACTGAGGTTACATTTGGTAGGCATTGTCATGGGACATAAATATCTTAATGATTTTGCCTGTTCAGAGAGGCCTATCCACAGTCCTCTTTCCCAGACTTCCTTGTCACAAGTGTTCCCAGTGTATTTCTTCTAAGTTCTTGATCATTCAGCTAAACCACTGGCCAGTCTATGCATCAGTATATAATTGCACATCTGGCCATTTCTTCTTCAAAGCAGAATAAACAACCAGGAGCACTACTCAAAGTTATGTTCACTGAGATGGTTTCTCCTCACTAAAGTTCTTCAGGAATGTTCCAGAAAGGGGCGATAGAGTTATAGCTTTTGACTTTCTAATGGTGCCTGCATATTATGCAGAATCATTTGTAAACCAGGCCTAAATGTTTCCTTCCTCTTTCAGCTGATCATAAACACTCCCTATGAGGCCATAGGTGCAGGCTGGGAGAGAGAAGATAGCATGGCAAGAGTGAGACCTTGTACATTTGGATCACTTCTTCTTGTACCTTACTCGTGCCTTCAAGGCCTGCTCAGGACCCATCTCATAAATACCACTTCCATTTGATGATGGATTTCTGCTGTGCAAGCCCAACTTTATATTACTCCCATCAAGTGAGTAGTTACCTGTGGATGACATTAAGGCCTTTCTCCAACATTCTAAAGGCCTACTGTGATTCACCTATTGGGGACTGCCAAAAACCCCAAAGAGTGTCCCTACCTGCTACTGATACTTCAAGCATCTGATGAATCATAAGTCCCAAGGGAAGAGCATGGCAGCCTGGAACTGTTGCAGACCCTTCTTTTTTTTCTGGGCTTCAATTTCAGACACTTGGTAAATGGTCAGTAACACATTCAGATGAGAAATACGTTGTTCTAACCTCCAAAGAGGCCCACTGGATATTGTGTCTCTTTTCTGATTCTAGAAGGGGCCAACCTCAACATCTTCTCTCCTACCTTAAAAGCAGAAGTATGCCAATGTGTCACATATCACTGGACCCCTAGAAATGTCACTACCATAGAAGGCTCCTGAATTTTTATCAGATTGATTTCCTAGCCTCCTAGCACACAAATGTCTTATCAGTAAGTCTAGAGTAATTGCTACTTCTTTTTCATTAGGTTCAATCAGCATAATGTCATCAATGTAATAGACCAGTGTGATACCTTGTGGAATAGAAAGATGATCAAAATCTCTGCAAACTAATTTATAACATAGTCTAGAGAGTTCATATACTCCTGAGGTAGGATAGTGAAGGTATATTACTGGCCTTGTAAACTGAAACGTAAATGCTTCTGGCAAAAAAAAAAAAAAAAGCTTCTGATTAAAAAAAAAAAAAAAGACACAAAAAAACAAAGCACTTGCCAAATCAATAGTTGCATACCAGGCATCAGGAGGAGTGTTAACTTGCTAAAGCTATGAAACCACATCTGGTTCAGCAGCTGCAGTTGAAGTTACCACATGATTAATCTCACAATAATCCACTGTTATTCTCCAAGATCCATATGTCTTCTGCACAGGAAAAATAGGCAGGTAGAACAGAGATGTGGTGAGAATCACCACCTTTATATTCTTCAAACGGTGGCACTAATCTTTGCAATCCCTCCCTGAATAGAGCATTGCTTTTGGTTTATTGTTTTTCTAGACAGAGGTAGTTTTAGTGGATTCCACTTGGTGTTTCCTGCCATATTACTCTTACTCCACAGGTTAGTGAGCCAATTTGTGGATTCTGCCAGATGCTGATATATCTCCACTCCAATTATACATTTCAGAACCAGGGATATTAGGGGCCAATAGGCCTACCGTGAAATGGATCTAAACTAACATTCCGTTGATCACCTAACCTCTATAAGCTCCTCTTCTGAATAACCATCAGTGATGTCTGCATCTCCTGGAATGAGTGTCAGTTTAGAGACAGTATCCAGTAGTCCTCAAAAGGTTTGATTATTTCTTTTCCCCCAATGGACAGTTAACCTGGTCTTAAATTCCTTTGGGAAAAGCTGGGACAAGGCTTAAGAGAAAACTTTAGGCAGTGTACCAAGGTTCTTTCTCAAGGGAAGCCAGCATCCCCTTCATTCAAGGGCTTCTGGATCTGTAAACTAGCTGAAGGAATTGATTGTGGTTCCATCATTGCTGTTTTTACTAGATAAATAAAACTAGAGTTTTATTCATTCGTCTAGAACTTGTCTGCATATGTGTGTGTGTGTGTATATATACACATATACATATACACATATACATATAGATATACATACACACACACACACACACACACACACACGCATATATCAGGTAAGAGTTTAGTAGGCTTTATATCTATTTCATTTCTAGCAACATCATGGTCAACTAACTAATCCCCTAGATCTGCATGAGTCTGACTACCCTGATTGCTGCTTTGACTCTGCCATCCATTACCATAACCATGCATCCTGTCACCCCAGGATCCAATTACTCCCACTGTATTTAGTTTTCCCCAGATCAGTGACTACAGTTCCCACTGTAAGGTTTATCCTTCAGAAAAAAAAAGCAGTCATAGAACTAACTCTTCAAGGATGCTGGGGCTTCCCTTACAAATTTGTTTTACAGTCATGGTGAAAGGTATGTCTTCTTGTCCCTGCCTGTTGGGTAAGTAGTTCTTAAATAACAAATCCATTCCAGCACTCTAATATCCCTAAGCCTTTGAATCACTTTTACAATGAATCACAGCAGATCTGGCATTTCTAGCTCTTGCAGCCTGGGCCAACTTTCAGCCCTTGTTTGACAAGCCAAGCAACCTGTTCCAACCCTTCCTGATTCGCCAAATTTAGAATTTCTGCTTACTAGGCCCATATCAATAAATATGGCCTGATCCACTTTATGTTGCTTCCATTACTAGGTCGCACACTTAATATCACTTTCCACACATACGCCATGTGGATTAGAATTCTGTCAGTGTAAATTAGAAAAGTCAAGTAGTTATTTTGGAGTCTAGTTCACCCTACTCATGACTATACTGGGAATTGAGTCCAGTCA